GCCAGGAGAAAACCACCGGCTTCGATAGGAAAATTGACAATCCTAGTCAATTAAGATTGGAGTCGAGTGCACCTGCACGGGCGGGGTTCAAACTCACAACCTCTGTGTTGACTGGCTAGTGATTACAGTAGTAACTACTTAGACCACTTGGCCACCGAGGTCCCTACTTATACAAGTAAAGAAGTCATACTATCTTCTTTTCTTGAATGTTTCATGACTTCTTTGCTCTATTAGAATTTTTAATTGTCTGTCCTTTGCAGATGTCTTTACTAATCATTTAAGGATGTTTGCTACTCTATTTCAAAATAACAAGCTTTTTAAAAGACTGTCATAAATTGATAGTATATATATATAGATAAAGGAACCAAATAAGCAGAAAATATGAAGGGTCCATGTGCTTGTTTTCGAGATATTAGCCATCGAAAATTTGGCGAGAAATAATTCTCTCTAGGCTTTTCATACATTTAACATTGGCACAGTGCCCTTTTCTTCCAAAAATCATGAAAAATAAAAAGGATTTTATACATTTGTTATAGGATTTTGAAATACAGCTTTTTAAACTATATGTAATAAAATTATGAAAAGAAAAGTAGGGGTTAGTAGGGAAAATTTTATAATTGAACTACATGGATAAAACCAGAGGATTCAAATATCTGGCAAAAATTCAAAAAACAAGAGGAGCGAACATCCTCAAGTGTAATTTCATGGACAATGAAAATCTCATTTGTCTGTTATCTTCAGAACACTGCTCATTTACAAGTCCCCAAGGGGCAATCTTTGAAGGCCTTGAGCAATTACTAAAGATCTTTGCGTAATTAGTTTCTCTGTTGAATTAATCAGATGGAACATTGAACTCGAATAAAAAATTATGAGCTAACCTGAAAAAAATTAGTACCCCTAACTAACTTAAGAGCTACAATTCCACAGTTAGGCGGACTTTTGATTTTCAAATTACCACAATCTAGAACTTCAAATTCTTATCATTATTAATTTGTACATGACCTATGACTTTCTTAATGTCAGAGGTAAATTGTACCTTAAAACAATGTAAAATTGAAATTGTCTAGGCCTGTACCTTTTATCTTTAAGACTTTTCATTTCTACAGTTCTAGACCACAGGCCCTTGTTTCTATCCATGGGAAGATCCACTATCAACGTATATTTACGAGCTTGTAAATATACGTTGATAGTGGATCTCCCCATGGATAGAAACAAGTGCCTGTGGTCTAGAACTGTAGAAATGAAAAGATAAAAGGTTTTACCTTTAAAATATTTTTTTTTCATTTTTTTTATATTCTTCATTTCTTATATCAAATGTTATGATCTTCCTTGATACCAAACTTGATGATGTTCCTTTCAAAAATAAAAAAGTTATTGGCATCTTTATATATATATCGGTCAAGACATTTTTCAAGGCAAAGCTAAAGTTGGTCAGGTCAAGTTTTCTAGCATTTCAAAAATAAAAAAATAACTTTTTTCTTAAATTCTTATATTAATTGTTATAATCTACCTTGATACCCCTTTTGATGTTAAGTCTTTCAATAATAAAAAAGTTAATGGCATTTTTATATCGGTCAGGACATTCGTCATGGCAAAGTTGAAGTTGGTCAGGTCAGAGACATATAATACAAGAGATTCGCAACTCTAGCATGTCTAGTAGAGTCTATATAACAGCCAATGAAATGACGTGGCCACCGGAAAGCCGATTATTCTGATGGATTTATGGGTAAAAACCCGCTATTGTTGTGAAGAAGGTTCTACGCTCACGATTTTTCTAATGGATAATGCCGATACCTTTCACAGCTAAAGCATGCAAGTATATTTAAAAGTTACAAAAAACTAATTCTAATAATTTGTTATTGATAAAATGTGTTCTAATGATGAGATTAATCAAATACAAACAAAGTTAAAACTTGGCCCATTTTACTTCACCTCCTATTGCTGTAGAAACCATTTGATCTCCCAATTTTTTTCTTAAAACTTGGAAATATGCTAATAAATATATAATTTTATGGGGCAATAATACTCCCAAATGTTGTTTCGTGAAAATAAGACTTTTTTCGTAAAATTTGATCCAATAGTGTTTTTTTTTTCAAAATTATCAACAAATGTGGCGATTTTTTCTTATTGATACCCGAAGCCAGCTGTGCTGGTACTATCATTTTATCTCGTAAAACTTGGAAATGTGCGAATAATTATTCAATTGTATGGGGCTATATTACTCTCAGATGTATGTTGTGAAAATAAGACCAGTTTCGTAAAATTTTATCCAACAGTTATTTCTAAAAATATCAACAAAGGTGACTATTATTTTGTTATTTATACACAAAGCCAGCTATGCTAATTTTATCAATCTGTTTCGTCAAAACTAGAAATTTACAAATAAATATGTCATATTATGGGGATATATATTACTCCAAATTTTTTTTTTCTTTTCTTTTTTTTTTTTTTTAAACTGGCTAAATATTGAAAATGTTCATGGACAAATTTCCTTAAATCAGTCCTTCATTTTTGTGCACTATGAAATTTATAGCCTGCATTTTGTTAGGCAATTTATTCATTTTTCATTCTGTTTATGGCAAAGTTGTTTATTTACTCCTATTCTGAAGTCATTGTTTTTTTCTTCTTTTTAGGGTGCCAAAGATGAACGAATGCAGTAAATTTACAAAAGGAGTAAAATTTTCCTAGTAAAAGAAACCTTCTGCTGGTCATAATATTATGAATGAGCTTCATGCATCTGTTGTCGTTTCAGACTACACTTCTCATTCAAAACATGAACCTAATTCATTTTTAAATTAAAATCGTATTGAGGACATTTCAATGGTGACTGCAAAAGATATATATATATATATATATTTGATAATAAAAGATTTTATTTACACCAAAGATTTGTGTATGTATACACATAAACAATCTTACTTTTAAACTGCCATCTCTTTACCCCAGAATAAAAAGACAAAAACCACTACAAATGATTAAAAAACAAAAACCACTACAAATGATTGTCTCATAGAAATAAGGTTATAAAAAACACTTTTTAAATAGTGTCTTTCATGTTGCTTTGATGTATGACCTCGGCTCCCACTTCAATGTTGTGTTTTTTTTATAGATTTTTTGTTGCTTCGAGGACACACATATCCATCTATGTATGCAGTATTGTCAATTGTTTTTGTAGGTGGGTCTCTCGCTTATGTCTTCGTCACTTTCACTATCAACAAAGAGTTTGTTATCAGTTTATTCAACTAGGAGTATATCTAAGTCGTAACTATTAAGATTGTCATCCCACGAAATAAAATCGGAATTTTCCATATTGTGTGCACATGAATGAAGCTTTATTCAAATGAGAAATTAATTGTAATTTTCTTAAATATTAATTCTCAATACACACTTCGAACATGAAGAAACCATAAATTTACAGACAATCATTTAAAAAACAACTCAATGCAAGCCTATGATGAAACTGTCAAACAACACTTAGAAATCAAACATTTACCGACAATCCTACAGAAAAAACTCAATGCAAGCCCAATTAATGATGAATATAAAAATAAATAAAATTTTAATAATTTATAAATATCAAGAATAAAAAGCAAAGCCTATCATGATTAACAATTTATTAACAAATAAATTAAGTTTTTTTCCACATTAATTTTACATTTTGTGAATTGAATTTTTGGAAAGAGTGTGGACACCTGTGGTGAAACAACTTCTTCATGTTCTTGTTTACAAGATGTCAATTAAAACTCATTATTTATAACATGTTCGTGATTTACCTGGTCATCGAATAATTCAAACCTAATATACATGTCACACTGTGAAATTATGTCTCCGAGACAGGTGTATATTCAATAGAAACCCATTATGAAACTATCAAATAAAATGAACTCTGACACAATTTATCAAGTGTTAATTATTTAATATCAGTTTTTTTTTAATACAATATCAATTATGTCTCTTTTTCAATAATACAAATCTAAAATCAAAATTACATTAAAATAAATAATTATAAATTCACTCAAATTATTTAATTTGTTATGATAAATTTAACACTGAAACAGTTTATATTATGCTTAAACATTCGTCCTTACTTCGAGTACTTTTAATACTTCTATTAATGACTTTATTACCTAAGGAGATCTCGCCAGGTTTAACTAGTGGCCGCGTGTTTTTACGGGATTTCGCCGAGTTGCGAATCTCTTGTATTAGGGAGCTACCATTTGATTTTTAGGGGGGGGGGGGGGGGGGGGGGGGGGCTAGGATGAAATTTGAAAAAAATAGGCAGGACAGGTGTTTTGAGTAAAAAAAAAAAAAGGCAGGATGAGCAACTTGGCAAAAAAAAAAGGCAGGATGACAATTTATGTATAAAAAAAATGTCAGGATAAACTAAAAAAAAAAAAGGCAGGACCGAAAAGAGTGAAAAATAAAAAGGCAGGACAGAGATTACAACTTAAAAAAAATGCAGGACAATAGTTTCATTATGGCCCCCCATAAAAATCAAATGGTAGCTCCCTATTATATGTCTCTGGTCAGGTCAAGTTTTCTAATAGTAAATTTTTTTTTTTCATTTTTTTTCTCAAATTCTTATATTAATTGTTCTAATCTTCTCTGTTTCCAAATTTGAAGTCAATTCTTTCAATAAAAAAGTTATAAGCACTTTTGTATCAGTCAGGACATAGTCAGGGCAAAGTCGACATTGGTCAGGTTAAAAATTATTTTTTACAATTTATTTTCTTATATTATTATCATGATTATATCTAATGTTATAATCTTCCTTGATGTCAAATTTGAAGTGGATCCTTCCAAGAACAAAAAAGTTATTATCATTTTTGATATCGGTCAGGACATTCATAACAGCAGTCATGTTAGTCAGGACATTAGTGTAACCCGTGTTCTACACAGTAAAACAGTCCAGAACTTCTAGACTGTTAACCAGTATAACGATTGATGATATACACTGACAATGACTGATTTATGTAAGAAAACCAAAAATAATTCAATACCCTGATTTGGACAGGTATTATCCATTTCAAAGGATCTGCACAATGATAATCAAATATTCTCTAAATATTCATCTTTATCAAGCACAATATTTTTTTTTATAACCGGAAATGGAAATGATATTGTAATAATGAAACCAATTCCGGAAAAAGAGGAACCAACTTCCACTATTTTTAATAAGGCCAGTGCCTATTTTATTGGCTCCGGCAAAAGGCTACTTAACAGTTTTTCCCGAATCCGACAGAATAGCTATTTATTTAGAGTTTTGCTATTTGCCGGACTTAACAAAGATTTTGATATTAAGGAGATCAGGTATGCATATTGACACTAAGTCAAGTAAATGATTTGCCTGAGAATGAATGCCCATATAATGTAATTTTATTCTTTTATTCACAATATATATGTGGTTTTTGGCTCTGATTCTGACCAATGCTAATATACTAAATATACATTTTCAAGTGACTATTATTGTTGTTGTTACCAATTATGTAAATCAATTGTATCTGATTTTATGCCCGTTATGGGCCCTGTAATTTGGGAAAAAAAATAAAAATATTCTATTCTATTCTGTTCTATATTACTTACGAATTGAAATAAATGTAGGAACATATATACACTTTAACATGTGTAAAAATATGTCATCTTTTAACATATATATATACATAAGCAAAGCATGGATGATGCATATTAAAATTGATATTTTATCAAAAAAATATCCAATAAGTTTTTAAGTTAAAAGTTACTTTACATTAAAAAAAAATGTCTATTTGTAGCGGAATCGTTTTTTATATATTTAAATTTATGTATATGGTGGAGTATTTCTATTTCCAATATTTATTTTCATGGTTATTATTTTGCTAACATGTACGTATCCAGGGTAAACTATAAAGAGTAATTGACTTTTATTGGTTAACAAGTAAGGACTCTCGGTGTTTTACATAAGATAAATGATTAACAAGTTGCTTTAAAAAAAAAGTCAATACGTGAACCTTAGAACTTTGTTTATGCTAATTATTATTTCAACTGATTTGTAAATTATATCTCAGTATTTTCATTACCATGTGTGTGGAGGATAATATTTTCTTTTTATTGTAAATCAGGACAATTATGGCATGTTGAGAGTGGTGTTAAATATAAAGTAGGGAGATAAGGAATGTTTTAATTTCAATAGTTCATTTCTGGATGGTGTTAGCTTTCATTTTTACCAGTGTGAACGGTCAAACTACTACCAATGGACAATGATGGATGACACTTCGAATCTATGGTGTTTATTGGTAGAGGTAATATTTCAACTAGAATCCCTCAGTAATTTTATATATTTTTATTTTTAAAATACATATTTCAGAGCAAGTACTATATTTTGTTTCATAAAATGTGAAAGTTTTATTCCTACCAAATAAGACAAAATCTACTTGCTTACATTTTATTTTGTGCCGTAAAATCCTGTTCCACCTTAGAAATGGGTTTGGATCCAGCTAATACATTCAATTTGCTGCTTATACATGTATATACTTAATATACCTGTCCAAATCCGAAGCCTTTTTTTTTGTTTGCTTATTATCGTTTCTGTTTTTCGGGGTTTTTTATTGTATAAAAATATTGCCATTGATTTATATCTTGTACAACACTGGTCAATTTGATGTCATTTAGCTCACTTTGCTAAGACTCAACATTCAACGCCATGTGTATTGAAAAGTTCTCTCATTGGCAAGCATAGTTTACCAAATATTATATAATCATATCAGTCGCAGGATAATTCGATTATTATGAAATGCGGTTCCTTAAATCAACATACGTAATAAATTTAAAAACTTTACACTGTTTTTTGCTAACTTATGTTTGTTCCTATAATTCAGAAATTTAACAGTGTTTTGGGATTTTTTGCTTAAAGTTAACTTTTTAAGCATGGGCCCCTTTTCAACAGTTTCCCAACTACTACCTCATATGTGAACTTAAGTATAGGGGAAATTTTGTTCGCTATGTTAAAGAAATCTTCTACTTGCTCTATTTTGCATGTGAAGACCATAGAGCCGTCATCTCTATATTGACAATGTAATTTGATGTTTTCTTTCCATTTGAACTTATCTAAGATATTTATTAATAGGACAGACATATGCAGATATGTGCATGATGGTGAAAATATACCACCTATGGAGGGGGCGCTCCTATAACTTGTTTGTATAACTTTCCATCAAACTTAAAAATTTATTGTTTCTTAGAATTAATTAAACAAATGCAGTTTAATCTTTTTTGTTGAGAATCTTTAAAGGATATTCTTTTGTGTCAATTAATTCTTCTGCATTGATAACTATTTCTTTTAAATTATCAATGATCATATTTGTGTACATTTACGTTTCATCATAGGCAATAAGAATACATTCCCTTTTTACCTGGTGTGTTTTATTGCTGAAATCTTTTGTATCTTGAACTTAAAAGTTATGCCTCTACAAAAATGGTTTTATATTAGATCATTTAATCTCTCAACTCGTCTCGTGGTAGAGTTACACTTATTGATGATCAGTTGTAAGGAACATTAATTAATGTCTCCTACTAGTTGACCATTACTCAGTGCCTCATTAATTATTTCTAGATTAATTTAGTGAATTTTTGAATGACTGAGGTAATGTGTCCACATTTTGAATCATTATTATTCTTTAAGAATTATACGTACGGGAATCTATTTCTATTTTTTTCTATATAGATTATCAACCATATCTTTTATTACCAATATAGCATATAAGTGAGGTAAAGCGATATGTGTAAAGTTCTTTATTGCCAAGTTTTAGATATCTTAAATGATCCGTATGGAGGTGCTCTTAATTGCAGGAAGCTAATACAGATAAGAAATATAAATGTTTCGAATGAACAATAATAAGGGTTCCGAATATTCCTCCATAGACTCTAACTAACTAATATGCGTGAACCCTCAGGGGTTCACGCAAAAAAATTTCTTCTCGGAAGAAAACAATACACTCATTCTCAGGAAATCGGGTCCAATACTAAATGTGTTGTCCCTTTAGATATTTTAAGTCTTGTCTGCTTTAAAATATAAAAAAAAATAATATGTTTTTGAAAATCCAAGGAGATATCTAGGTAAAACTAACATAATTGCCAAGTAGAAGAATATCAAAACTACTCCAGCCTCACACAAAAAAACGTATTTTGAGTAAAACGAATGTCTCTGATGGTATGGATATTTTTTCTGTTGAGTATTCGACTGAAGAAGCTTGCAAAATATGTACTTATGTTGCCATTTCCGAACTATCACCATTCTGTCAGTATATATTTAAATCATTTTAAGTAGTTTAAATTGTCATAAAAAAAAAAACAACACAGTTTTGAGATTATATTTCGAGGTTTTAAATTTAATATTCAATGAGATTACGATACAGTTAAATAGTTAAGCGTATTTACGGTAGGATTCCGTTTTTTTAGAAGCCGTTAATATTTGTCTTACATTTTTGATAAGAACTTTTACATTATTTCACAATGCAATATTTTGAAAGACTTATTTGAGTACTCTGTTTGAAGTGTACATTGTTTACCTGTGTCCATATTGTTATTGCAATTTACATGTGTTGATATTTTGAAAGACCTTATTAAATTATAAAAACACACTTATTTCGATCTCTTCAGGCATGGAGACTCAGACCTAGTGTTTCAAACCTTATGAGGTAAACAGACGGTTTATCTTTTAAAGTCGGAAATATCAAGTAGACTTGTGTATCGGAAATTGATTATTTCCGAGCCATAAGATCAGTTTAGCTTGATTACATATAATTGTCCGATTGCAGGTCTTCAATTTACAGTTAACTCCGAGATATAGTCAAGGTCCGTAATCAATCTTTGTCGGTGAACTTATTGATAAAGGTGTGTTCGAGAAGTAGACATACATATTGTTGGAGTAGATTTTCACACACAATAAAAAAAGAAGCTCATCAGTACAATGTAGAAAAATACGTGTAGCTATAGAGAATTGGATACTGAGTTAACATTACGAAATTTACTAAATAAGAAATACACAGATAATTAAAAACCAATTGTTCAGAGAACAATTGAAGGTCTTTCCACATCAATTTTCTAAATTATTGATGAGGAGTTACTTCTGGTTTACTCAAAGTTACTATATATATTGGCGCCCAAGCATGATAGGTTTCTTCATACTGATTCTCAATGAATAAATGTTGCTATATATTTTTGCCTGAAATAAGGGAGATAATTGTCAACTTCCGGTTTAAAAAATTTCACTTCCGGTCTCACATGACATATCCAGAAATCAACGCCACTTTGCTTATTTGAATATTATACTAAAGAAATCGGATACGGGTCACGGAAATTATATTGAAATGATAGGGAATTTTGAAAAAAATGTCTTGATAGACAGGTTGCGGCGACAGAAAATAAATATACACAACAATATGCACCATTTAAACGAAACATAATGACTGTCGTTGCAAAAATCAAGGTTCCTGAGCTATTTTAAAAATCGAAGCGAGAGGCTTTTAACATTGAAGTATAAAATACAGACTAAAATGGCTGAAACGTCAAATTTGCAAACTTCGTGTTGAAAATTGGCTAACAAGGTCATTACAAAAACAGGTTGCGGGGATGAAACTTGAAACTTGAATGTCCAAAGAATAAGCAAGTCCAAACCTTGTATGTGTAGTCGTTGAACTCTAGGTTCCCACGTAAAGTTAAAATACCCCTATTTCAAGAAGAATAAAGTCACGAAAACACGAAAAATTCACTAAATTCGCGTTCATTGTTTTGATTTTGACCGCCTGACAGCTTTACGGACATATCAGAGTGATTATAAACAAGGACTCTGTGACGGGCAACTTATAATATCCGTGTTTTAAAGATTTCAAGCCAGTCCAGTTCAAACTATTATCACGTGGTACAATTCTCATTTACATATTATGAATATTAATTAGCAAAAGTACTACTAATTTCTGGCTATGATAGCTTTATTTACACTGATTCCAAAAATATATGGTTTCTATATACTTTTGCCTGTAATAATGGAGATATTAGGTACTTCCGGTTTAGCTAAGGTCACTTCCGGTCTCAAATGATAGGTTTATGGAT